CGGCGGCAGCATCAGGAAGTTCATGAGTCTTTCAAGCTTGACTCGAGAAGATTCGTAAGGGAAGTCAGTCATTGCAGAACGGTGAATGTACAGCGGTGATGGCCGACCCGATGCCAGCTCTAACTGGAGGTAAGTCGGAACGGATAGAGGCGGCAGAGGGATATTCGGGGGCATCGGTGAAGGCAAAGCCTGTTCTTTCATCTGTGGAGATGGTTCAAGGTGTTTCGACTCTGATTCCCGGGCGATCGAAAGGCGATCTTGTTTTGAGCGAGACGCCCATGTCTGGGCCAGCCGGTCGTTCGTCGCCGGCAAGGTCTGGCGGCGTGAGCTAGGTGTTGACACGGCCCGTGAGTTTGGCGGTCGATTTCGCGAAGAGGATGACGCAGGTGTTCTCCCAGTTGAGAGGGTCGAGGTGTCGATGGAAAGATCTTTGGGGAGACGGAGTTTAGGTAGAGTATCGGATGGAAATTTAGTTTCATCTAGAGACGGCAGGCTTGTGGGCTCTGGCGTTTCAAGCTGCGTAGCTGCTGCATGCATTCCATCCGATACTGCCCGTCGTCCGCGTTCTGATTGCTCCGGTGGCGCTGCACGATACGGGATAGACTGCGGTGAGGATGTGAGTTCCTGCATCTTGGCGGGGGATAATTTCAGCACGCGGTCTGGGTCCTTGTCGTGGTTCCTGGAAGGCGACGTGTCTCGCGACCACTCGGTGAGCGTTGATTGCACCGCGGAGCCTTCAAAGACATCCACTAGGGATGTTCTCGAAGTCGTGCGACGGCCTGGAGTCTGAGGGGGCTCCTCCGAGTGCTCAAATACCATCCCTAGCACCTGATCCGACGCCAGCGCGAACTGACCGCTTTTCCGGTCGACGCAGGGGGTGTGTTGGCTTGGTAGCCCGTTGAGATCGTGTTCAGAACTGTCACCGACTCCATCTGGCAGCAAGTTGGCCCTAGAATTAATCCGGTTGGCGTAAGTTGCTGTAGCGTCCGGCGCCGGCGTTTGTCCGCATTGCGCATCGGAGCCCACCGCGGGCCGTCCGTCATTCTCCCCGGATTGATTCACTCCACTTAATGCTGTTGGTCGCTTTGTTTCTGGTGACTTTGGGCCTTGGATTCCAGCGACTAATACATTGTCGGCTTCTGGGCTTTGTGGTGTTGCTGGTGTCCATTCCTGCTGAGACGAGCCTGCCGCCTCACCGTTGACGGACTCCCGCCCTCGTTCGTTGTGACTTTCACGCATGCCGTCTATATTGACTATCGTTCTTGGCGAGTCATTGCGCATAGATCTTGAAAGAGCCGCGAGATCTGCGTCGTCTTCTGTGCAGAGCATTGAGGAAACCAGGATCGCAATCGAGGAAGGCAAGGACACGATGTCAGCGGTAGCGCTCCGTGCGCGATGCAATCCGTCAGCCGTGCTTTAAGGAGGGATCGACTTCATTTCGGGGTCAGATCGTCCAGTGTAAAGTCGCTGATACAGCCTACAAGGCAGGCCAGGGGTTGCGACCGTTGATAATGAGGATAAAGCGAGTCAGGGTCTTTGCTGAGTGAAAGAACAAGCCAAGGGAGAGCAAAAGCCCGGGGATAATCATGAGGCGGTCAACAAAGCGGTGGAGTGGGCCTGCTGTCATTGTAGCCCATGACTAAGCAGGGTCTTACTTTCCCCACAATTTTGGTCTTCAGTTTGAGTATTGTTCTCTTCTGCATATCACTCACGTTTTCTGGTGTTCCTTCTGGTTAATTGATTTGAAAACGAACATATATCTAGTTATATGCTTGACATGACTTCTTGAAATGCCATGGGCCCTGAACTCAATATACTTGTTGCGCTATACTCTCACTGTTATTGAAGTTCTACGTCCGCATCTCCTATACTACGGATCTACCACCACCCCCTTCGACTCCTTCAATATGCCCTGCCAACCTGCCCCAGCTACTCCGTAGCGACTCAAACCATGCGCACCCCTTAAATTAAGGGAACCACAAGCGACCCTCTACAATTTACTGTCAAGATCCGCTTACTTCAGCTTCTATAGTAAATAGCCGAGGGGGCGTTTCCTGAGTCTGTCCCCGAGCAGGAGTCGTCAAGCGACGCTAGTCACCTCGCCATCGACGGCAAGCATGGCGTGCTCCTCCACCACAATCACCTTCTTCCACCCCGGTTCTGCCCTGTCATTTGCAGCCATCAACCATGAGAAGGCTTTGACCACGAGCTCCTCCGATCCAGGGCGTGGCCATGTGGGTACCAATCCAGTGAATTCTGCTTTTCCCCCCCCCGATGGTGTCATCGGCTCTTCCGGATAGTTAATGATGGCCAGCCAATACTGTCGCGCAATGGTCATGAAGGCCTGGACATCTTGCGATAAGCGAAATTTTATCACGTAGCTCCGCCTGTCATTAAATGAAGGCGCGCTCGAAATGACTCCATCGGGTTGGAGGATTTTTATTCTACGCGAGCAGTCATCCCCTCTTCTCCCTCACCCTCACCCTTGAAGCGCCTCCAAGGACTTGCTTCACGGTCAACCTGAGACTCTCCTCGTACGAGCACGACTTGTTTAGTCCTGGAAACAATGACGATTGCGTCTGCCAGTTCAGAGACGTTGAGGGCGGAAAGGAATGTGGATGAGACGACCCCCCTGAACCCTGCAGCTTTGGACACAAACGTCACGAATGTATCGAATTACCAAACTGTCTCCAAGGGGCCAACAAGTGATGTCCAAAGCAGCCATGACACGGACGAAGAACGTCCGCTAGTCAGTCCAGCAGAGCCCTCGGAGAACAACAAAGTGCAGGCGTTGGCTAGCGTCAAGACAATTATTGCTGTATTACTCCTGGGTATGAATGAATGACTGACTTGATCATGATTTCGACCAATGCTGACCTATAGCAGGCGAATTCATCTCCAATGCAGACACTACTCTCGTTATGGCCACGACAGGAAAGATCTCGTCCGAATTCGATCGTTTGCGCGATGCCAGCTGGCTGGCCACGGCTTTCACGCTCGGTCTCTGCGCAGCACAACCCATGGTAGGCTAACATGGTATCTCTACGACCCAAATGATGCGCTGACGGTTGTGGCCTGCAAGTATGGCAAATTGAGTGATATCTATGGCCGCAAGCCGCTGCTGCTCTGGGCATACTTTTTCTTCGGCCTCGGATGTATAATTAGGTGATTTACATCCCTTTCAACCACGTGTAGGAGAACCGCTCTAACTCACGTCACTTTAGTGGGATCGGCTCGAGCATGTTGACTGTGATTCTGGGGCGTGCCATCAGTGGCTTGGGCGGTGCTGGAACAATGGCGATGGGTGTGATTATCATTACAGGTGGGATGGACAACCTCATGGCCAGCCTTGATCACGGTTGCTAAACGCCTCGCAGACATTGTTCCCCGGCGAGATGTGGCTCATTGGCGTGCGTATGTCAACATCGCTATGACCCTGGGTCGAAGCGCAGGAGGTCCGATCGGTGGATGGCTAGCAGATACCGTTGGATGGCGATGGTGCGCATTGAAGTCTATCGCTTGATTTCGTTCCACAAACTAACTGTTTGACAGGTCATTCCTTCTTCAGGGCCCGCTCACTGTGTTAGCTGCCTTGCTCGTCGTTTGGAAGCTCAAGCTTACCACCCCCACCACAAACAAGGATATTCGCAGGGTCGACTTCCTCGGGACATCACTCCTCGCCGTTGGTATCATCGCCACAACCCTCATTCTCGACCAAGCTGGAAAGGCCTTCGCTTGGGTCTCTCTTACCACTGCTCATCTTGGCACCGCTAGCGTGGCTGCATTCGTTTCGTTTATTGTTGTCGAGCTTTATGTGGCTCCAGAGCCCATCTTCGATCTGCGCATCTTGCGCCGCACCAACGTGCTTTCCAGTTATCTCATTGGGGCTCTGCAAATTACCGCGCAGGTTGGTATGATGTTCTCGGTTCCCTTGTACTTCCAGGTCACATCTCGCGCCTCAGCCACAGTCGCGGGCGGGCATCTTGTTCCCGCAGTGATTGGCAATACGCTGGGCGGCTTGATCGCCGGTGCCTCCATTCGACGAACAGGCCAGTTCAAGGTCTTCTTGATCGTGGCTGGGCTGGTCGCCTCGGTCACTTACCTCCTGCTTTTCCTCCGGTGGAATGGCAACACGGGCTTCTGGGAATCACTGTATATCATTCCGGGCGGGATGGGAACTGGCTTCGCGTCGGCTGCGGCCTTCGTCAGTATGACCACCTTCCTGGTGCCTCAGGAGATTGCCATGGCCACTGGAGGCTACTTTCTGCTGTTCAACTTCGCGATGACTGCTGGTGTAACTGTCACGAACAGTGTTCTGGGAACCGTGTTCAAGCACCAGCTGGAGCAGAATCTAACAGGGCCCGGAGCAAAGAAGGTAATTGGGCCCATGGGTATCCTGTTCTGTGTGCTTCCACATATGCTGATTCATGACTGCAGATGATCGAACGGGCTCTGTCTGATACGGATTATATCAATGGGCTCAGTGGACATGTTCATGACATTGTGGTCCGCGGATACGTTACGGGACTCAAATACACATATTGTAAGTTGCCTTGACGGAACGTTATCTGTCTTACATACTTACCGTGTCTCTTCTAGTGTTTGCTCTGTCTCTTTCGCTGCTCGGGTCGTTGGTGGGCTGGACAGTCCGAAGGCATCAACTGTAAAAAGATACCCTCACATGAACACAGACATTGGAAACCTTTGGACAAGTAGAAAAACGTTGAGACCGGTCTTCAATGGACAATGGATTAGAATGAATAAATGAGAAATCTGTTAGAGGTAACTAAGTGAAAGCAGTAGGCACCGCCGGTAAAGTGATCCATGCCAACCAAGACTCGCAATCAAGGGAGAAAATAGAAGAATGCCTCAGAGCCAAAAGAAGCGCGAGGTTTGAGTGTCGGAGTTCAATGTGGGGTGATTTGATGTTCAATCAATTAGCCTTCTTCAACAGTGCCGAGGCTTGGGCCCCTTCATTTCGCTTCCTCCGCACCCCATCCCTCCAATTCGCTCAACGCCCCCGGCCATCAGCCTTCTGCAGACAAGGCAATGTCCATCTGGACAGTGGCGGGCGTTCTGCAGCCAATCTCTTGATAGTTTGCGCCTGCATGATCGGACATAAGGCCGCTTTCTCAATGTGATCCATTGGCTAGTTCGTGCTTCGGCTGCAGAACCCCTGCTTAATCGGAGTCTGAGCCAATCAACTCACTCATATAACACCGTTCCTGGCAGCCGACGATGCAAGAGAACAGCAGATCATATACAAGAAAAGGAAAAGACGGGAACTGCAGAAAGTCATCCGGTCATCCGTCCGTCGAGTAATTGAGGACAAGGCCCAAGCTGCTTTGGGCCACGAGAAATGACATATAAGATGGAATTGCCGAAGACCCCAGTGCCGTGGCTGACCACCAGCCCCTGGGACCTCATTCGCAATCATCTGCAAAGATGAGGTTTTCGGTGCTTCAGACTCTTGTCTCGCTGCCTCTGTTTGGCAATCTCGTTCGCGGCCTGTCTGCAGCGGAATGGCGCACTCAGTCCATCTATTTTCTCCTGACGGATCGGTTCGGCCGGACTGATAATTCGACAACGGCGACATGTAACACAGGGGATCAGGTATGTCTGGGTCGTATGGCTACCAGTACGAAGCGATTCTCTGACGTGGCTAGATTTATTGCGGTGGAACATGGCAGGGAATCATCAACCACGTAAGCCATCCCGCAACGCACAGGTTTGATCTGAGTCTAATCTGCTTGCGCAGCTGGATTATATCCAAGGCATGGGCTTCACGGCCATCTGGATCTCGCCCGTCACCGAGCAGCTGTCAGCGAACACTGCGGATGGCGAGTCCTACCATGGATACTGGCAGCAGAAGATGTGAGGCACTTTGTGGCTGTAACTGGGATACCATAGTTGACTGAGAGGGCAGCTATTCGTTGAACTCCAACTTTGGCACCGCGGATGATCTGAAAGCTCTGTCTGCTGCCTTGCACGAACGGGACATGTATCTCATGGTCGACGTCGTGCCAAACCATATGGTAGGATTGTCTCGTCCAAGTTCGGACACCCAGCTGACCGGAAATCCAGGGCTATGCTGGCTCAGGGAATAGTGTGGACTACAGCGTCTTTGATGCCTTCGACTCCTCGTCGTACTTTCACTCGTACTGCCTCATCACCGACTGGGATGATATCGACCAGGTCCGGACCTGCTGGGAAGGTGATACGATCGTCTCTCTGCCTGATCTGTATACGACGCAGTCGGCCGTAAGGACGATCTGGTACGATTGGGTTGAGCAACTCGTCGCCAACTACTCAAGTACGGACCCCTGTCACTTGACTTGATGAGGACTCGCCGCTGACTCCGACTGCACAGTTGACGGCCTTCGCATCGACAGTGCTCTGGAAGTCGAACCAGACTTCTTCACGGGATACGTCAGCGCGGCAGGCGTGTACAGCGTTGGGGAGATCTTCAACGGCGACCCTGCCACTGCCTGTCCGTATCAGGGATACCTAGACGGCGTCCTGAACTACCCGATGTGAGTTCCAGTCTGCAGTGTAATCCGCAAAACCGCAGACACTAAACACCCAAAACCAGCTATTTCCAACTCCTCTACGCCTTCGAGTCCAGCAGCGGCAGCATCAGCGACCTGTACAACATGATCAACTCAGTTGCCAGCGACTGCTCCGATCCCACGCTGCTTGGCAACTTCATCGAGAACCACGACAACGCGCGCTTCGCCTAGTGAGCCCAACGCCCAACTCCTCCATGTTCTACCCACTAACCAAGCAATCAGCTACACAAGCGACTACTCGCAAGCGAAGAACGTGCTCTCATTCCTCTTCCTCTCCGACGGAATCCCCATCGTCTACGCCGGCGAAGAGCAGCACTACTCGGGCTCCGGGGTGCCCTACAACCGCGAAGCGACCTGGCTCTCGGGCTACGCGACGACGGCGGAGCTATACCAGTGGATCGCGACGACGAACGCCATCCGCAAGCTGGCCATCTCGCTGGACAGCAACTACATCACCTACAAGGTACGTACCGCACAGTACACCCCGTACTCCTTCCCTGTTGCTTACCCCCC